GGTAAGACATGTACGAAAGAGTACAAATTAATATATGATAATGAATGAGATGTATTAGGTACGTGACGACAAGGGTGAGCACTGAGCACACATGTACATAAACAATAAGCCGTTGAACAGCACCACGCTTTTCGCTGCTACCAAACGGATGCATTTTACAGTCAAAAAATTATATTCTTACTTTTCAACAGCGGTCTCTGGGTCAGGCGGCTCTTCGCTCAGGGAGGTTTCTTGGTCATTGGCCGTCCCCGCCTGAGGTTCAGCATCCTCCGCCGCCGCTGCTCCGTCCGCCCCGCCCGCCGCATCATCCAAGAGCTCAGATTCCTGATCATCCATGTCTTCTCCAGCCTTCTTCCAGAGCCAAAGCATGAGAAAGATGCCAGCGACAACAGCCAGTGCCATAACGATGCCCAGGCTCCCTCCGGAGTCAATGCCAGTCATGTGGCCAGTGCTGCCGGCACCCACCACACCACCCGGCTTCTTTTCGTGAACACCAATTGGTCCGTAAATGTACGGAAACGACGTGGTTGTCTTCGAGTTATTTGCCAATGTTGCGACTGGCGCTGCTGTGGTGAAGTTCCCTCCATGGGCGGTTGTATTTGTCGTATTTGATGGTGGCATATCTATCTCCTGGAAGTGCTGAATCACATGATGGCTGCACGTATTTAGGTGAGCCAACAAAAAGAAATTCAGTTTACAGGGTATCTCGAAGCAATGCCATTCTGAGTTGCGGTTAGAATTTGCTGAATAACTGATTTTCGCATTGAAATACGGCTTCCCTACTATTTACATAGCAATTAGATGCAATACTAGGCTGATTACCACCACAGAAAAGAAATATAATATTCTTGATACCCACATCACATTTGATTCAATGCTTGTGACTCTGCGCAGTTAAACCGAAGTTAAACACTCTGCGCACTTTTTTGGAATAGTAAGCGCAATGCTGTAAATTTCGTGAATGTTAACTAAGCGATACTTCCGATTCCAAAATTCTACAAATCCTTACTTTTCAACGGAAGCGATTTTTTGTGATGAATGTTTCAATGAATGTGTGTGCAATAATTTTGACTGGTGACCGCAATATTCACAGTTGATTTGCTTCTGAAGGAATACAAATTTTTGTTACCTAGTGACATCATGACAATGGACAATAGAACGATTGAAAATATTTAACGATGCTTACTTGCGAGTTGGGATGGGCCATGTAATAAAATGAATCATGTATGGGATAGGGGCAATACAAATAATTGCCCTCTATGACGCCACTGTAAGCCTCGGGCGAACACATCAACAAGCATGATTGCCATCGGCTACGCCTCGGGCAATAAAACATGCTTCGACTGATATGCAACACGATCTTTTTCGGTCTGGGCATGACCTTGATTTGAGGTCAAATTTTAAATCGATGTTTTAGATCAACTTAACTTTATTCAATGCGTCGCCTAAACGACAGCAACACGATGTCGGTGAAATCGACATAATACATGTTTGATGTCAAAAGATAAAAAACTTTTTTTGCAAAAACGTCCCATTTTAGGAGTTTTTGCCCTATAGAGTCTAAACCGTTTGCCCTAGGTCAATTCTAAGAACAAAGCTAGATCTATTTTAAGAAAATCTAAGAACAGAAAAACTTTGGAAGAGCTTTCGAATGCGCTATTCCGTGGCGTTCTAGCTCCATTCGTTTCCGAGTTATGTGCCGACTTGTGAAAAGTTTTCAAATAAGGAAAACTTTTCGTGTTAATTCTACTTTTGGTGACCCCCAGTAACCTCAGCGAAGACCTGATAAAAACAGCCTATTGTAACTCTGAAAGGTCTTACAAGAGTGAAGAGAGCCATGTGTCGCTTTTTCTGCGTCTTCTTAGCTTTCTTAGTTACCGAGATAATCAGGTGTGACCAAATAACCCCCATCACTGTGCGAAGCTAGTTGATGCCCCCACCAGGGCGAGGTTGACGTTTTATTGTCAAAATCCGTTTCATTTCAGGATCTTTCCTTCACGAAGGGAAACGGGGTATCATCAGTTGCGACAAACATGCTTCTTTCTCAACGCCAACTTAACCTAAATTCTCTTTGACGTTCTGAGAACGGTGAGTCCAAATAGCGGAACATTTATCCTGCCCCGTTACGTGGCTAACTGTGAGTGCATCGTTGCACCTAATGATAGGGCATCACAACTGTGTTAGGATAGCATAAACTTCCCATCCTTTCATGTCGGACTTTTCGCTGCCTAAGTAACACGCGTCATCTCCGGTTTCTGGAGCCAATGACCGAGACTCCACAGTCCACACCCGTGGTCCGCATAGCGGCACTTTCCACACACGCCGTGCCGTATCACCATTGCAAATCACGGCGCTCTCGTGCTGACGTGGTGTCTGCGGCACCCGGCAGCGGGCGCGTCTAAACGTGGCCGCCGAGAGGAAATTCCCGCGGCCCAGTCTGGACCGGAACCGCGGGAATTCCCCGTCACGACTATGGGAAATACGGAATTCGGTTCGGGGGCCTACTATCACGCTATCTCTGATCTGCTTAGGTTTCATGAATAATAATAAAGGGATTAGGTAAGAAAGAGCTGTAAATGGAGAGATACTCGTAGAAGTGTGGAGAGACATAAAAAGTGACAAAAGGAAAAGGAAGAGAGTCGAGAGATGAAACATGAAAGAGAGATGGAGAGAGATAGAGAGAGAGAGAGAGAGAGAGAGAGAGAGAGAGAGAGAGAGAGAGAGAGAGAGAGAGAGAGAGAGAGAGAGAGAGAGAGAGAGAGAGAGAGAGAGAGAGAGAGAGAGAGAGGAGAAACGGAGGGAGAGAGAGAGAGAGAGAGAGAGAGAGAGAGAGAGAGAGAGAGAGAGAGAGAGAGAGAGAGAGGGAGGGAGGGAGATGGGATAGGACAGAGTAACGTGCTCCATGTGAAACATTCTTGTTCAATATTCAGTGACCATTCGGTCTTAGTTTGCTCATAAAAACAACTATTTATTTACTATTTATTTATTATTTTCCTATAGAGGTTGAATGGTCCTACAGCTCAAGCCTAGCGTTCAAAGCATAAAGTCGCTAAACGTTAGCAGCATCGCAATTGCAAAGATACTCCTTTTTATTAGCCCGCGCCCCATTGGGGGGGGGGGGCTATTCATAGCTCCCCTCCCGTTTTTCTGCAATAACTTCCAAACCGTTTGATGTATCGACGACAAACTTTCAGTACCTTCGGCTGCATCAATTTGACACCTTGTGTCAAAATTTGAACTTCGTAGCTACCATAGGTCGGCCGGAAATGACGTCAGAGTGACGTCATGTTCGGCCGATTTCGACGCAAAACATTGAACCACGGCAATCGCTCCCATGAGCTCAGTTTTTAAGCTAGATCCAATTTCTTTGCATGGGAGGACTCAAAATAGACTGCGCTATCTAACTGCTATCTCGGAGTTTCAAAATGTCGAGAATTTTGAGAAGTTGATATAATAAAATTCAAAATTTATATTTTTACATTTTTTTTCAAAACGTTTTTGACTTTTCGAAAATACCGGAATATATGTGATAGAACGCATTATAATGACTAACTCTAGCAAGTTTTAGCTAAATATCTTCAAAAATGGCTAAGTTATACCCATTATTGCAAAAAATCACAATTATTAATTTTTCAAATCAATTTTTCAGCCCGTATTTGACATCGTACGCCGATATATGTAAATAGCACCATCGTGTTCCTGAGCTCAAACTGCATCCAATAGACACCTTTTTTTGTTGAAAAATTTTAACTTCAAAATTTGACCTTTTTTTGACCTGAAAGTGACCTGACCTAAGCTAAATTCGACTCAAAATGACCTCGAGTGACACAGACGACATCAAATTCGAAATCTTTGGCCTAAATGGACCATAAAACATGTGTCACGTGACCGACGCATGATATAATATTTTCGTGACCTGTGATGACCTGACCTTGACCTGAAAATCAAAGTACAAGTTTGGTACCCTCAGGGTATCTAGAGCATCTGTTCACGAGTGTGTGAACTAAAAATGAGCCTGATCTGACTTGTGAGACGGCGGCCAGAGCCCAAAACGTGAGCAAGCCAAAATGTTAATAATTTTTACTTTGACCTGACCTGTGACGTCATTGGTGACCTCGAGGTCAATGAAATTAGGTTTCGCTCGACAGTTTTTCCGGGGCTATCAGACACTGTTTGAATTTTGACGATCGGCCTAGTAGTTTCGGAGTTAGGAGGGGGGGGGGCTATGAATGCCCCCCCCCCCCCGTAGGGCGTGTTATACGCAGACCCCAGTGGGGCGCGGGTTAGGACATGAGTAGTAGTACGATGAGTGAAGGGATGACCATTTCATATCAATATGTGTAATGAACATTAGACTCTGAATAAGAGACTCTCAGGACAAAGTTTATAATTCTTTTGGGTTTCATCGCAGCCTGGGCCGTTAAGTGCCAGCATTGCTGGATTACTCGTCTTTGTATCGAAATTCCGCACTATTGGAGTTCAACTGGGTCTAATTCTGACAGATGTACCGATCGAAAAGGGTGGGTGTTTTGGGTGAGTCAGAGCGCCTTGACGAGGGGTCGCAGCAGCCATACTGCGGGGTCACGGGGAGGGCATGCGCCCTTGTATGGCGCGAGCACCGGCGCCCTTCCACTCAGCTCGACTGTAAAATTCATCCTCCACTGGTGAACAAAGTGCCGTGATCTGCACTCATCACCCTAATGATGAAGTGACGCGCCCACGCGGTGCAGCCTGCAGATAAAGAACAGGATGTTAGGGCGGAGGCCGGTCGTCGCTCTGCCAGCCCTGAAGGCCCGGACCTTCTCCAGTGTCCCTCTCCGGTGCCCTGTTCCGCATTGGTTACCGGTCACTGGACTGTAGTCAGTGCGATGTCATCGCTCACTACTCTTGTCACCTTACACATCGCAGTATTTCTGGGTCTCCGGTGGTTCCTGGGTGACCCGGGTGCCCAGTAGCGGCCGCGCCCCTCGCTCCGTACGGCGCCGTGAGACTCAGACTCAGACCGCTGCCGCCTCCGGTGGGGCTATATCAGCTCCGGCAAGGTCGGCGCCGGCTCACTGGCGGGCGCGGGTTGACGCGGTACGGGTGTCCGGTCCGGCGGCGATCGGCGGCGCACAGTGCTGTTCACACACAGAGACAACTGCTCAGAGAGACATGGCCGCGTACAGGGTGAGTGATGGAACCCCGGGGAATGAGCAGGGGCGTGGGAACCGATATAGGACGCGTTAGTATTGTCGCAGGGCTGAATGACAGTAGACCGTGCACAATGGTGATTTTGTATGCACGTGCACGTGAGGTACTTTGTATGCGTCTACGAAATGGTAATGACTAATGACTGCATGAATTGTAGGTATGGGTTATGTGCGGTTAACAAATAACGTAATTCTAAGGAACAATGGAGAGGTGTGAAACATTGATTTTGCTACAAAGTAGACGCATCAAATATGCGTCGGTTCAAAAGCTATGATGGAAGTGAAGTGAAGGTCAGCTATGCAAATTTATATTTTGTTGCAATTTTGCTTACAATTTTAATCGGATACATTTTACAGAAGACAATATCAAAATGAATTATACTGAAAAGGGCTACAAACCACAATATTTTTCACCGATTATCAATTATAAATGTCATATTTCATCAAACATAAAAGAGATATAACACATTTGGAAAAAGAGAATAGATTGATCGAACTTTTGATTTTATTCATAGTCAGTTAAATTGTTGGATATATTGGTAAATCGATTTATATCTAATAAACGGGTTACAAGAAAAAATGCCTATTTTTATTTGCAAACCTAGCTAAGAGCTGAATTGGGAGCGAATGAGAACCACCAGATAATCATTTGCTTAAACTATCATGGTAAATCACTGGAATCACTTTTTTTTGTGCTTTTCTAGCACACCAAAAAGCTCGGTCCATGGCCGATTACCGATGACCGATTACGTCTGTATGTCCAGACGGCTAACCGTAACCCGAGTAACGGAAGTCTTTACGCTGAGTCGCTGATCGCTGAGATTCTGAGCCGCTGAGCCGCTGAGCTGCTGAGCCGCTGAGCCGCTGAGCCGCTGATTTTCTCAGTCACCGATTAGATTATTCCTGACATGTTCATTCGCTGAGCTGCGATGAGCCGCTTATACACCAACCTGATCATTAGGTGAAACAGTTCGCAGTCAAACTAACGCGATCAATTCAGCTATCAGACATACCGCAATGATACAGTAACACGATCATTTGTTGAGGCAGCTGGCAGTGATGAACCGGCCTGATTAGCTAGTGATCTAGCTAGCAGTGATGAATCATCCCACGGTCACCGGTAACGAGTCGGTATCGGTGCACCGGACCAGTCGCGAGCAGATGAGCTGACAGAGCCTGTCAGCCTGTCTATATAGCACTTTAATAGCAGGCTCTGTCAGTAGCAGAGCTGACAGCAGTAGCAGAGCTGACAGAGCTCGTGTCCGCTGAGTTCGTCTGGTGTCATTGGCCATATTAGTACACCGACTTTCAGTCAAACGCAAGGCATGGGTCGGGCAGTGACCCGCCAGTTGCATACCTGAGCTAACGAAAATAAACAACAATTTTTCTCACATTTTTGACGACCTCATAAAAATGCAAATAAACACGTTTTAGTAATATGATATCCTTGAAATTTTCACACATGCATGTGAGATGTAAACTTTCCTATTAGCTAGCATCATAAAGTATTAACCCGCGCCCCGCTGGGGGGGGGGGGCAGAATCTGCCCCCCCCTCCCGTTTTTCGCCAATAACTTCTAAACGCGTCACGCCAGCGACGTAAAACTTTCAGTACCTTATTATACATCAATTTGACACGTTCCCTGAAAATTTGAGCGAAATCCGTCGGATTTTTTTTTTTTTAGAAATTGACGTTTTAGTGACGTCATGTTCGCCATTTTCGCCTAAAAAACGGCAAAACTTCAAACGCCGCTAACATCTTCATTTTTAAAGGAATCAAGACGTAACAAAAAGGTTATACGTGATTCTACTTTGTCTATCAAATGGCTATCTCGGTTTTTTGAAAATTTTGGATTTTGGCCCAAATTTAAAAAAAAAACTGACTTTTTGGGAAAATAATTATAAAATCCAAAATTTTGAGTGTATCGAAAAAACCCGAATATATGTCAGCGAAGTGGTGTATGTGCACCTACATACCAATTTTTAGAAGAATCGGTTCAATAATGTGGGAGTTATTCAAAATCTTATGACGTCACGACACACAAAAATTTTGAAAAATGATTTTTTGGAAGTTCTAGACCTCGTACGGAAACAAAAATAGCACCATTCGATTCGCCGTGAAAAACTGCATCAGATAGACACCTTTTTAGGCCTTAACAACCAACTTCAAAATTTGACCTAACTTGACCTGACCTTGACCTGACCTCGACCTGAAATTCATCCAGAGGTGGTCCATATCACTTATGGAGTGTGCCTATTGAATTCTATGAGTAAAATGACCCATAAAACATGTGTCGCACATGCCCTTTTCTATATTTTGTTTTTGGTGACCTGACCTGACCTGACCTGACCTGACCTTGACCTTGACCTTTGAATGACATTGTATGCAACGAATATTGTCTTGGTAGTCTAAAAACACGTTTTGGGCAATCAGTCTCAGTCCATTCTTCGCTAACTACGGTGCAAGGCCGATACTGTAGAAACTTGCATCTTGTACCCTTGACCTGACCTTGACCTGACCTCTGACCTACTTAAACAAAAAAAAAATTGGGCTCTTTAGATCCGCCTTGTTGAGAGCTTTCGATTGCCGTTTTCCCCGTCTTTCTACGACCATTGGTTCGGAAGTTAGACAGGGGGGGGGCAGAATCTGCCCCCCCCGCGTATGGCTGAATAGCCCAGCGGGGCGCGGGTTAACCCTATTAGTGGCAGGGGGGTTGTTTTTATCCACCCCTCAGGTTTTTCGGGAATATCTGCGAAACCGCTGAAGCTACGATGCTGAAATTTTCTGACTTTTCCTAAAACTAAATTGGGCACATTCCCTGAAAATTTCAAGTTCATAACTTTACCAGGGGCGGCTCCAGAGCACTGGGAATTGGGGGGTCCTATTCGTGAAGCGAGTCATTTGGGCGAAGATCACGATGCTGCACCAGTTTTACGAACAGTGAATGAAAGGTATCATGTGATAACATATACAAAGTTATTGTGTTTCCTCTTTTGACACGTTTTTGCTATAATAGGCGGATCCAGGCGTCCAAAAAGGGGGGTTATTTTTTACCTCCCAACATAGGTGCCCTGACACCGCCTATGCATGACCACTACAATTTTAGTCGTTCTCTCATAAGAAAATTGTAACATAACAAGACCATTGCCACCCTTTTTAGAAACAGTACCAACAAAAACCTTATTTACTATACTTTTTGTGTACCCCCAATCTCAATGATCTGTATCCGCCTATGATTTTTGAAAATGCATATTTTTAGGATCCATGTGAATTCCTGGTTCATTCTCTATCGATCGGCAAAAGTTGCGTTAAGATTGGTTCAGAAACCTGGCCGTGATAAACAGTCTAAAATGTATCTGCAATTTGCCCGTTTTTACCCCCCTCTACCCCCCTATTGACATTTTTCAATTTTATTTTTTTTAGAAATGTAGATCTCGTTGAGCGAAATCGAATGCCGTTTGAATTTTGAAAATCGGCCCGTTAGATCTCGAGATATCAAAGGGGGGTCGTAAACAGCCCCCCCCCCTGCCACTAATAGGGGGTAGCCAGGAGCCTGCCACTAATAGGGTTAAGACTTACTCTATTCTGTTACATGCTGTTCGACCCTAATATCGCATCATCTGCTATGTGTGGGGCTGACCGGCTGATGTTTAAAGCCATTGCGAATTTGAAGTGATAAGAAAACGCTAGGCCTACTATGCAGCAATAGAAAAACAATGGTATCTATCTATGCGTGGTTTAACGGCGACATTGACATAACCAATTATTTTGTTTAGCAATGTCCAAGAAGGCCGTAATCCCCAGAACGCTAATGCCGCTGTCGGTAATCCAGGCATGCCTAAAGCTGCGTATGCCTCAAATCTTTCCAACTAGCTATATGGCTTACGGTGGAATGCTGTGCTGAATGCTATACGGCTGTTGCGTAAAACGTGCGCCTTTTAAGTGTTTATCGATTCTTGCTACATATCGCAGAGACTGACCACAACTTGCCCTGAGTCTGCCTTCTGATTAGGAACGGCTGGCTACCCACAACTGGCCACAAATTATCCGTGTCAAGGACCTGTACTAAATGCCGCAACAACTTGAATTCATGCAGCTTACGTGAATTCCACATGTAGTAGTCACAATCTTTATCGCGACTTGAGTTTGACTATCTACTCAAATTATTCATCACTGACAATCATTGCTGCAACAGGCAGACATCGATCACATTGCACAATGATTGGATGATGTTATTACACGCTACATCACGCAATGCCTGGACTCATTAGTTTGCAGGCCCTTTATTTTCAGAACTCATTGGATCCCACCAGTCACTAAGGTAAAAGACACTTGCATCCTATTTTGCCAGATTATGAGATAAAAGATCAACAATTATGAGGTGAACTGTTGGAATTGTTTTGGGGCCTATAAACATTGCACTGCGATGTTGTTTCGATGCTAGGTGTCGTGTTGAGAAGAAGATGTTATTGTAGAACAGCTTACCATGTTACAAATCTCTTTAGAGCTGTCTCTATTCCTTTATATTTGATATTTGCTGTGTGAGTGAGCGTGGCCTGCTCCGGAGATACCCAAAAGGCAAGCCTCAATCGAGATAATCAGAGATACGGATGACAAAACACAAACAGCATTGGGTTAGGCTGTATTCATCAACGAATCTCGGGACGCCCAATTTGGATATACAGATTGTTGTTCACCGGTCCGCAGACCTCTATCGGCTTTTCTGAGCGAGTGTCGCTGGGGATGGTGATTTGTCGGGCCCTCCCGGACTGTTGGAGCTGATCTATGGCTCTGTTGTACAAAGAAAGACGGCTGCCAGGCTGTCACCTGCCCGGGGGGCTGTGTCCATCACATGTACTCCCTCCGCTGCTGCACTATCGATCGCCCTTCGCAGCCTCCAGCTACTCCTATCACCAGCAGGGATCGCTCTGCAGCATTTTACGGCGAGCTACCAGCTGAGGGAAGTCACTCGAAGGC